CCGTAGGCGACAGCATCGTGCCCCAGACACTCCAAGAGAAGCTGCCCCAGAAGGTCGAAGAGAAAGTCCCCAACGCCATCCACGACACCGGCGCCACCGGAGCGCAGAGTCATGCGACGGGCGACAGCGCAGTGCCCAAGGTAGCGCAGGAGGCGGTGCCGAAGAAGGCCGAGGAAGTGTTGCCTGAGAAGGTGCATCCGACGGCTTAGGCTGGAGATGGAAGTACGTCAGGGCTCACGCGTACGAAAAATTGGGATCCGAGCTGATGATTTGTCAAAGTAGTGGCGGGGGTGAAGAGAGAGATCGAGACGTGTGTGGGGTGGCGTCGGGCAAGAATGACGGCGGTGGTGGGCTGTACCACGAGTCGTGTCATTTTGATAGATGGGAGAACAATATAATAGCCGGAATACGTACATATAGGAATACTAGATGCCTTTTTTTATGAACGGGATCTTCTTTGGACAGCGATGAATTGACTAGTACGGTAGCTGACATAATGAAAGAAACCTCAGATGATACACAAATTTGTTCGAAACGTTCTCTTGCAATTGCCACCATCCAAACCCGAAGGCCTGGCGCCTTGGCAGGCTGGAAAAATTGCTTTCAGTCCTCGGTGCGGATCGATCTGCCAGCGCTCCATTGAGAACTTTCCATATGGGAGGGAAAGTGTTCCAGTAGATGTCCCCCCCCTGGGTATGCATCTGTTTTGCTTGGAGAAGTTTGAAGGGACTTATGGTCATAAAGAACACGAGCCAAAGCAGGCGAGCAGATTGGGGAGCTAGTGTTGCACCGTAGATAGTAATGAGGACAAATTGTAAAAGCTTAGTATATTGTTCTTATGCTTTAGAGATCATTGCAAAGAGTAAACTTCGAATTGCAATGCTTCTCGCATGAGCAGTCTCGGTAGTATCTCCAGCAAATTCCATGTCCAAGCATCTTGCTCTCCGAATGCCAAGCGTAATCCCCTGCTCCAACAGAGCAGGCATCCACTTCTGTGCTCCCTTCGATGCTTTCTGACCAGCCTTCTGCTGCTAGTCTGTTCCTTATTCGTTCAATTCGCTGACGCCACGCTATATATCTTTGATCATCGGCAACGAAGCTTACTCAATCCGGAAAATGCTGAAATAGAGCGGAGATGCTCTCTCCGTGGTGATTGCGCCGTATGGCTTCGGAAAGAAGAGTCGAGATGTCCAGAATCACAAGCTTCTTGCACGTCTTGACCCTTTCTGGCGCTATTGGGTAAGTATTGGTTACCATAATGTAGTCGATGCATTCGCAAGCTTCCATCTGCTCAAGTGAATTATCACCGAACAGCCCATGGGTGGCGATGCAGTACACTTTCTTTGCATCTCCACGCTTGACGACCGTCTCGGCTGCCGCAATCCACGAGCCACATTGATCAATCAGATCATCGATGATGAACACGGTGCGATCTCTGACATTGCCAACGAGAGTGACCGTGTGCTCGAATTCGGGGTTCTTGAAACCTTCTTCCTCGTCATCCGAGTGCGCTGTAGCGTCCATCGAGCCGCCGAGGGCAGAATGGTCAGGTTGAAACGCTGATGTTGAAGATATGAAGGATGACGTCATTGGATCGAGTCCGTCGAGCTGCGGTTGACCCATGACGTCTCCTGGTAGAGTCGCGATTGAGGCGGACATGGTAGATAGAACGGGCGACGGAGCATCGTCGTCAACGATGTGGCCTTGAACCAGCCTGCCAGTGATGACTTCTCTGGCACGCTCATCTGTGTACTCATTTGCCGAGTCTTCCTCCTCCTCCTCCTTCTCCTCCAGGCGCAGTGCTCTTGATGGACCATTGGTAACAGGCTCCCTCTGCACAGGAATCCGATTTGTAGGAGGTGATGCTGAGTCGACTCTAGTAGACTGGGCCAAAGGACTTGATCGAGTGTAGCCATTCAGACCGCGGTAGGGTATACTGGTTGCGGAGGCGCCGTTTATGTTTGGTGCCAATCGTGGCGATGTGCGTATTCGTGGCGGTATTCTTGAGTCCTCGGATTCAGCTGCTGTTCCATTCGGTGGACTTGTATCTGCTGTGTCCGAGATGTGCGATTCAATACCACCATCACCCATTCTCTCCAAAAATCCACTACCTGCAAGGCTTCCATTCGTACCAGATCTCCGGCGGTCGGTTGTGACAAGACCGAAATTGATTTTTAATGCATCTGCCAAGGATGTGACCCGCTTTGTACCGCCTGGATTCTTGCTGACTACCACTGCCTCCTTCCAGCCTGGTACGTGATTCTTGATCCATCTTGCGATCAGAGGTTCCGCATGGAGATTGTCTACTGGCTTGCCAAAGAAGCCTTGAGTGGGAGGAGCATGTAGGTCGACGGTGATGACATGATTTATACCGGCGACAGAGAGAAGGTTGGCTACCAATCGTGCGGTGATGGCACCTCTGTGTGACTTCTTCTTGGATTGTCGAGAGTAGAAAAAGTATCTTGGTGGTTTTTAGCTTAGGTCATCCAATAGCGGAGTCGGACCTACGGCATCACAGCTAGAACGGTCAGTATCATCTCTGGCTGAGTCCACAATTGGACTGACCAGTAATACTCTTCGCCGAGCCGCCCTTGCACGCCGAGATCATGATCAGCATTTCCATGAGGCTGTCATTAACCTGGTCGCTTCCACTCTGAACAATGAAGACATCCTGGTCTCTGATAGAGGTCTCAACGCTGACTGAGGTTTCCCCGTTGCTGAACTTCTTCAGTTCAACTTTGGCCGGTGAGGTTCCGAGGCGTTCGCAAATGGCATCTGTCAAGAGAGGATGGGAGGAACCCGAAAATATTTGGACGCGTCTCATGACGGACAGTAGAGAGACTACTCTCTGTTTCTCACAAGTTGTTGCCGCCGTCTTTCGGTATAAATTTCTGAAGACATGATTGAAGGTGAATGAGTCGGTGTGTGTGAAATGAATTTACCAAGTCAATTTCGAAAAGTCTTGGCATCAGATAAGATTAGATCTTCGGCCAATTTTTTTGTTTGACCTCAATTGGTCTCATCGCCAGCTGCATCATCATTAGCGGCATCGATAGGCTTTTAATGCGGTCTTTGGCAGAGAATAGCTCGTTTCCGAAATGTTATCATCTTGTTAGCACTTAGCTACGGTCTGCTCCGGTGATAAAGCCCTGAGGGGCCATGTCCTGGATTGTCAGTCTTTTCAACCCAGCTCAATCCACTCGCAAAAGCTATGCGCCTTCCAACGACCGCCAAACCCCAGTATTCTCCAACGTCCAAGATTATGAGGATGGGTCGAATAGCACGTCCGGAAAGCGACGGGCCGGTGAATACGCTCAATCAACGGAAGAGGAGGAGGAGGAGTACCCTAGACATCCATACTGGCAGGTGAGCCAACGCCGGATTGCTCAGGAGTCTTCAGCGCTGCCAAATCGTGTCATGAGCTGAAATTATATGCAGTGTATGATAGCTGGCGGCCTTGGCGGAACATCTGGAGACCTCCTCATGCACTCCATTGACACAGTCAAGACCCGTCAACAAGGAGACCCACACAAACCGCCAAAGTATGGATCGTTATCCTCTACATACGTCAAAATCTTCCGCCAAGAAGGTTTCCGAAGAGGACTGTACAGCGGTGTTGTACCAGCGTTTTTAGGCTCCTTTCCTGGCACCATCATCTTCTTTGGAGCCTATGAATACAGCAAGAGGCATATGTTAGATGCTGGCATAAACCCGTCACTCTCTTATCTCGCTGGCGGTACGTGAATCCTGCCTTTCGGTCATCCGGAAAGAAACTGACCAGTGCAGGCTTTATTGCCGACTTCGCCGCCTCATTTGTCTACGTACCCTCTGAAGTCCTCAAGACCAGACTCCAACTGCAAGGCCGTTACAACAACCCTTTCTTCAATTCAGGATATAACTACCGGGGAACGATTGATGCGGCGCGGACAATCGTTCGACGAGAGGGAGTATCGGCTCTCTTCCATGGGTATAAGGCCACTATCTTTCGTGATCTGCCCTTCTCCGCCCTACAATTCGCCTTTTACGAGCAAGAGCGGAATTGGGCAAAGAGGTGGAAGGGTAGCAAGGACCTTGGTGTAGGCCTAGAGATCGCTACAGCAGCGTCGGCAGGTGGACTGGCTGGTGTGATGACATGCCCGCTTGACGTGGTCAAGACCAGGATACAAACGCAGATCAATCCGCCCGACACTGCCACACCAGCTGGTGGAGCTACGAACGTACATCCGCAGCCTGCGAAAATTTCCCGGATGGAGAAATTGGGCAGTCCTAGGGCAGCCCACAATCCGTCGATGCAAGCATCATCAAGACGTCTCATCTCAACCTCCTCACCAAATACATCTATGCCAAAACCCGATGCTGTCAAGCTGGATACCTCATCCGTCGTGACTGGCCTGAGACTCATATATAAGACCGAAGGGATGATGGGACTGTTCCGAGGGGTAGGGCCGAGAGCTGTTTGGACCAGCGTCCAGAGCGGAACGATGCTCGTCTGCTATCAGGCATTACTGAAACGGATGGAGGCTAGTCCGTGGCTAAATGATGAAGAATCTGGCGTCGCATGAGGCACGCTTTGTATTTATACCACTGATGATGGACGGGCATGGCTGTCAAGCAAGGTCACCATAGTGTACAGGTTTTAATGCATCGGCATCGGACAGGACAAGAGCGCGTCGCATTTACACAGCACGGAATAGAGCATAGAATCTCGGGTACTCTTCTCAAGGCTTCCAGCATCCCTCTCAAACTTGTCCATCAAATCATCAACATGAAGCTCCGCAATAACCCTTTATTCCAATCCCAAAACATAGGAACCCCCACTACCCATCTTGATTGGTCGGTGGTCCCCAGCGAACCGCGCTAACCGAACACGCCAAGTTGTAAACAACTCCACTCCGTAAACATTCTAGCTTCCCCCTCACCGCTCCCTCTTCATCCCATGCGTCCAACCCTCAAATCACCTACAAAATAGTCGCCTCACTCTCGCGACACAGGAAACCACAATGACGAACGCCTGGCTTCAACAGCAGCGCAAAGGCGCCCTCACCGAAATTGCCGACCATGTCGGGTTGAAGAAGTGCGCGCCCACCCTTCCTATTCCCCCATCTCTCCCAAATCTATCGCATTCTAAAGCTAACCACTACGTACCGCAACAGCGTCGAGCGCTACAAAAAGATCGACCTCGAAGTCGCATTAGAAGAGCACCTACGCGCAAACAGCTCCAAGCTATCATCCGACTCAAAAGTCGCTCCCTTCTTCTACACCGTCGACCCATTGTCGCCCACGAAGCAGGATCCCGCGACCGGCACCGTGCAGACGGTCGAGAAGGAGAGGAAGCCAAGGGCCAGGAGGCAAACCCTTAAGGCGCGTGAGGAATTGGAAGGGGGGTGAGTCGAAATCTTCACCGCCTGCGCAGCGCGTCGCGCAACTCTTCACGACGGAACCCAGAAAAGAACAGAGAACTGATCCGAGCGCTTTCAATGACACAGAGACGACGCCGGATCCTCCGCGCCGACCAAGACGCCCAACCGGGCCCTCTCCTTCGCGCGCTCCGTGCCCCTGCCCCCTTCCCCCGCCGTCCTCGCGAGTCAAATAGACGCCCACACCACCACCTTCCGCAGCTCCATCTCAAACTACATAGCCGACTCCCGACTGCCCTCCACCCTCGACAGCGTGCGCGGCTACCTAAGCACGGTAACGGGGATCGAAATACTCACCCTGTTTGTCGAAGCCTTCGGTCTCCGCTACGAAGTATTGCCCTTCCGCTACCTGACGACGCTCCCCGCCTTCCCCGCCCTCGGGACGTCCGAATTGCCCCTCAAAGTCCCCGATTTCTTCGCCCTGCTCACGACTGCGTTCTGGGGTCCGTTCGGCCTCTGGCTCTTAACGAGTGTCTTGCTGCCCCTATTGGGCGGCTGGTTCATCAACCTGAAAGGCGAGGGCGGGTACGATGCCGTCAGTTTCAATGCCGTCAAGGCGATCACGGCGTGGGTGGTATACGTGAGGGGTGGCGGACCGAGCGCGAGCACGCGGGTTGTGGAGAGGGGGGTCCCGGGGGGCAGTACGGGGATGCTTGTGGGGGCCGGGGCTGGGGCGTTGGCGGGGATTTATGAGGCTGTGTTGCGGAAATAGGGGCCACCTGCAAGTACATGAGAAGGGGGCGGGATGGGGTCGGAAGTGGAGAAAGGCAGAGAGTGCGACATGTACGTGAAAACTAGCGATTTTGGGGGGGGGGCCAATGATAGGAGTCAGCGGCGTTTTGATTGAGCATGGGACATATTCTTTTTGTGTATATGGTAATGCTTGCGATCCTGCGATTGGACACCGAATCATTCGTCAAACAGTGTATGCGTACTCTAGAATCTGATCAGCGCCACCAGCGCTTTCTCCTTACTTATTGTACGCAAACAGAGCCGATATCCAAACCGCTCCCAATAATCTCGCCCTTACCGAGGAACTGCAAACCACCGATAATCCAAGCCATGTTTCTCAAAATTTTCAAGAATCCCAGCATACAATCGACATCGCCCTCACCGGCCCTCAAGTCTCCGGAGAACATCGATCCAAGACACAAGCGCAACTCCAGCACCATCACGCCGTCACCCCCAACCGTGTACATCCTCAAAGCGACACAGGAATCATCCAAGTCTCCCATAACCCGAAACCCCTTCCCCTTCCATATCCCAGCCACAGCTCTTCCGACCCTCCCACCTCTTCACATCCAAACCATTCCCCCTCTTTCTCTCCGCAAACCCCACCGACGGATTCCCAGCCCGAACAGTAACTTACCAAGTACTCTACATAGCCTGTTGATAACGGACACCGGGGACTCTATCTGTCTGCCAAAAGAGCAATCTCGGAGAAGGCTGCTAAAAAGCGGCAGGAATGTTCTTCCCCGGCGTGGCGTTCAGATGCTTGCAAAAGTCTAACAAGGTGCAGTGCTGAACCGATTTCATCGACCAACAACGCCGAAGTCGGGATAAAGCCACCGCTTCACCTTCCGACGATCCGCTCTATGCCAGCTTCACAGTCGATGTGCCACTCTCACACCTCTCGTAACACGTTAGCGACGGGGAAATTCGGAGACGATGCCGCCAGCGAGCAGACATTCAGACACTTCGCCCCAGGATCGTCTGGAGAACCTTGTGCCTATTATACGCACTGCTCGCAACTTGCCGTACTAAAATCGAGGTCGAGAAATCCCCTCGGTGCAGTGGGGCGGGTGCAATTTCCGCACTGTCTCTGTTCGGAGCTACAGGATCTAAGAACGGTTAGATACATGACCGGTTGTGGAAACTTGTTAAATTGCACCCGAATTTTACCATGGCTTGGCGGACGCGTGACCGGACGAGGGTAGTGTCCGGCATCTCAAAGGGATCTAGCCATGCCACCGGGAGAAACGCGGACGAAAAGAGACCGAAATCAGGTGGCAGAGCAAAGCAAAGACGGTGATAGGGACTGACAATACTGTCCGGATAGCAGGAGGAGGTTTTCAAGAGCATCAAAAAACAAGGACATCTAGAAACAAAAATATCAAAAAACAAAGATCGACTGAATCCAAGTATTATACACCTCATCGCATTCTTTACGCTCATCTTCGCTACCTCCCGCACCAGAGACCAGAAAAGATACGCAAAAGCAGATACGCGAGTGGGACAATCTGCTTAGGAACGGGAATAGGGTTCAGGTAAATCCAGGGATGACGAGTCGCACCGAGGGAAAAGAGAGACTCTGGCCGCCGGATGAACACAACATCCCATGACACTTTGAAGTGCAGATGGGTCCGACCGTCCGATCAAGAAAAGTATGGACGACTGTGAGGAAGGGGAAAGAGCCAACCTGAACCCTGTGCCGAGGAATGCAACAAGGGACGCTACATCAACGATCTTCTTCCTCTCGTTGATCCCGTAGAAACATGGAAAGAGAGATGTTGTTGAGGACTAAACGTGATTGCACAGGTACGCGGAGGCTGAAGCTCTTTTGAGCAGCGTCTTTGTTCAGATTGAGGACCATCGCGCATCCACGGTCAAGCAATCTCAAAGGGCAAAGATCTTCGGGCGAACGCATTCAGGCGAACCGTGGATGTATGTTTTCGCAACAAAAAGTGTCCTAATTGAGAAGATTGATGTACTGAAGAAACATTGATGTACTGACGAAACATTCATATGTTGACGAGACATTCATATACTGACGAAACATTCATGTACTTAAGAAGCATCCATGTACTAGAAGAAACATTCATGTGCTAAAGAAATCAAAACCTTGAGCGAAACCAGCGCCTCTCCGTCAAGTTACCCTCAGTTCAGCGAGCGGAGTAGGCCTCGTATGTATGTTGTTGCTTCGTCATCACGAGGACCCTAAGAGCCGAGCGTGTGAGGGAGGAATAACCGGACGTGTGGGAAATGTGGCTGACCCAGATCACTGGGTCGGGACGAAGATCTGGTTCCGACTTTTCGGGTCTTTGACTGCATTGGTTCCAGATCTAGAGACGCAGGGTCACTATCAGCATACAGCTCTAGGGTGTCGTCTAGTGTTCAGCACATACCTCCGAGCCATCAAGCCCCATGCCCTCTATGAGTGCGTCTTCTGGCTGCATGGCCGGCAAGCCTTCCTTCCGCAACTCAGACACTCGAAAATGAACCAGTGTCCCGTAGAATTGCAAAAGGAGCAATTCCATTGAAGAAGGTTGGTCTCAGACTTAATGCTCTTCCAGGAAGTGTGGTCGCAGTTGGGCATCGTGAATGGTATGGATAATTGTTGACGATAGCAGTGATTCAAAATTGCTTCGGAAAAGGGTCATTAGTTGAAGATTAAGTCATGACGAGACTGAGTGAGACGCACGGTGTTAGGGTTGAGTTATCTGAGTTGTTTCAAGCTTGCTGGGAGACGAGATACGAAGCCTTGAGATCTGGAGCTATGAGGCGAGGGCGATTGTTTTGTGGCAGCCGTCGAAGAGTTGGATATTATCCTCTACAGAAAGATAGGCAGTCTGTTCTGAGAAGGTTCGAGAAGGTTTTCCTGAGGAGGAGAGAATTGGGATTCAAGAAAGGTGTAGCTTGATCAAGAGAGAAGAGAAGAAAGGGCCGCAAAATTGTTAAGTATATGGACAGAATGAGAGGGGAAGTCCTGACTGATGCCCTAGAGCCGCGAGCTCTCGGATACTCATCGCTGATGCTCACTGTTGTGAGGGCCCGGTAATAGGTCCAAGTGCATACAGGGGCAGGGCACTCACTATCTGGTCATGGATATTCACAGCGTCTCATTTGATCGAAGATGTGAAATTTGAAGGATCGAACCCAAGCAGGTGCTGTATTTGTAAGGCTGAAGCAAGAAAAGATCACAAGCACACCGTCAATGTGGCATAGCATAGAGGTCGATGGAAGCCATCACAAAACTTAGCTTTCGTAGTTCCCTCCCTTCCCTTGTTCCACCCGTCAATATGCTCCAAAAACAATTGGAGGCTTTGACTAGAGCCTCGGGGAGTAGGAACCGTCTCTTGACTATATTTCATGTGCCAATCGTAGGTCATTTTGGTCAGCGGTATTAGCGTTCTCCTCGCTTAGAGTGAAGTTTGACGGGTACCAATCAGGCTGGCTCGGGAAAATAGAAAGTGCCAAACCTTGAAATTGATACTGGTCTGGAATCCCGCTTCTCACACTTTGTTGCGCTTCTGGCAGAATTGTGGGGGTAAGTCGTTTTCAGATGCATTGCGTAGTGTCATTGTTGCCATCAGTGCTGGTTTGGCTGGTAATCTCCCAGGGGCCTGGGTTTTGGAACTGAGCAATCCAGAAGGAACAGTTCGTTTACAGTAGCGCTGTCTGTTATGCTTTGGCGCAATTCCAAGGCGCTACTGCAGCCAGCATCATGGCAGTAACGATCATGCGGTGAGAGCCGGTAAGCCTACGACAGCCCATGTCAAGGCGCTTGGCATGGAGCTATCGCCAGGATAGTGGCCCTCCAAATCTGGCGGAGCAGGGATATCGCTGTTCCGTCAGATCTCCTAGCCAGCAGATTCGCAGGCCTTGCCTCGGTCCACGTCTGTTGGGAGGGGCGGACAGACTGGGGACGAGCAGTTTGCGTCTTCAAGACATCCTTCAGCCGTGCAAGAGGCACCAGGAAGGCCTTAAGGAGCCGTTGGTAGTCCATAACCATTCGGCCGGGATAAAGCATGGCGATGAGTGGAGAGGGGTTCGAAGGATTTTGGTATCACCACCGAACATGGGTATAGAGGCTAAGCGATGACGAAGACCGCACGTTTGCTGAAATGCATGTATGGGATCGCTGATCTCGAGGCTCAGGCTTCCACGCCATGGACGTGGGGCAACCAATGGAGGCGAGGAAGGGAAGAACCCCTCTGTTTCGGCACTCCTAAATTCCGTTGCGTTCTGTGTTTTCCATCCCAATGCAGCCGACTGAAGCTTCGACTACATCTTTAAGATGCTAGCATCTATTGCTAGTCAAGGAGATGAGGCTGAACAACGTCTCAGGAGGCAGACGTAGTAAGAGCATCTCGATCAGCCGTCGAGAGCTCAGAGCAGACCGCCGGGACTGCCGGATTCCGGCAAACATCACAACTGTCGAGAACCCTTGGGCAGATGACTGAACCTTTGTCCCAGGATGATGGAAATGATAAGGACTGGTTACCAAGAGAGCAAGGCGTTTCATGAATATGTTCCCGTGGGTAGGAGACGCTGTGCAAGTGTTTCCTACAAGCCTCTAATCTCCCCCAACCCTCGAAACGAGTTGACGACTCGGCTCTTGACAGGAGCGTTGGATGGTCCATAAGCATGGTTCGGGACATGGTGGTGGCTCGGATTTAGGTCACGAAGCTGCCACTGTCCTTTCTTCTTTTCGAGGATCCAGGAGCGTTGGGGGGGGGGAAAGGGAGGTGTGGTCAGCTGTCACCTATACTTGTGGCTTGTTGGTGATAAGGGTTGATGCATTGGCAGAATGGAAGCGGTGAAGCTGGTGGAGATCGTGATCGTGATGTTGGTTATGAATATAGCAGTGATAGCGTTGTTAGCGTCAGAATAGAAAGAGGCTGAGAAGAGGAGTGGAGAGGGGAGAAGAGTGGGGACATAACTTCAAGCATGAAGTATATTCTTTCCTTCCTTTCGTAATTGTCTGCCAAG